GTTATGGTACCCTTATTAGTAACACACGGTGAACCTCAGCAAATATTTATGTTACTGTTATGGTAACCTTATTAGTAGCACATAGTGAACATTAGCAAATATTTTATGTTACTATTGTTATTGTACCCTTATTAGTAACACACAATGAGCATCAGCAAATATTTATGTTACTATTGCTATGGTAACCTTATTAGTAACACACAGTGAAAATCAGCAAATATTTATGTTACTGTTGTCATGGTAACCTTATTAGTAACACACAGTGAACATCAGCAAATATTAATGTTATTATTTTTATGGTACCCTTATTAGTAACACACAGTCAACATCAGCAAATATTTATGTTACTGTGGTTATGGTAACCTTATTAGTACACACAGTGAACATCAGCAAATATGTATGTTACTATTGTTAAAGCAGGCCTTATTAGTAACACACAGTGAACATCAGCAAATATTTATGTTACTGTGGTTATGGTATCCTTATTAGTAACACACAGTGAACATCAGCAAATATTTATGTTACTGTGGTTATGGTAACCTTATTAGTAACACACGGTGAACCTCAGCAAATATTTATGTTACTGTTATGGTAACCTTATTAGTAACACATAGTGAACATCAGCAAATATGTATGTTACTATTGTTATTGTACCCTTATTAGTGACATGCAGTGAACATCAGCAAATATGTATGTTACTATTTTATATATATATATATATATATGTATATATATATATATATATATAAAACCTAAAAAAAAATATTTTGTTTCATGTCCTTAGCGTGCAAAATTTTTAAAGGCTTAGCAACCTACGTCAAGCAGCAACCAAGTACAAAGGTCATAACTATAAGAGATAATTGTTTGCTTTACTGCTTTATTTACTGTTCTATGTTTAAGAAAAATAAACTAAGAACTTATTTCTAAATAGCAATAATCTATATACATGTATAATGTATAATATTTGAAATGTGACTGTATTTTACAAAATAGTAGTCTACAAAACACAGCCAAGACAAGTTTCTTTGTACAGACCAAAGGTCACATTTATGTTATTTGATACGGTAACATGAGTGCACATGAGCCACGTCGTAATAACTTCTGTATTGTTAGTCAGGCACGAGTGAAAGGTCAGTGTAATAAAAATAAGAAATATATAATGTTATGAGATTTAAGCTATTTCGTCTAAACATTTATGTTTTCGTGTTATAATTTGTGTTCATTCTAGAATGAAAGATGCATAATTTATGTTTAGTTTCTAAATTTTTATGGTGGTTGCAAGATTGGTCAAATTTATCAAACCTGTACAGAGATTAATTACTGAAAATAACAGGTAAAATATAATGTTTTTTGTTAAGAAATATTTGATAATTATTTGGACATCATAAAGATTTCGCATGTGAAATATCGAAATTTGCTGATGCATAAGAGTATTTTTAATGTTAATATGAAAATTACTTTGCATGATAGATAAGCAAGATGTGGAAAGAAAGAAAAAAAAGGCATGAGAAAAACATTGCTTTACAAACCTTAAAACTTAATAAAAAAATTAGATACTTTGCGTTTGAAAGCATTGTAATGTTTACTGATAAACTGCCTAATTTTGTTAACATTCACTTACTAATTTAAAAGTTATTGCATGAAAACACAAAATGGTTACAAGGTCGGTACTACAGACTGAGCCTGAGTTGAAAAAGAGTTAAATGGTAAGTTTTATTCATACTTTCTTTCTTTCAGAGGCTTTTTTCTCTCTTTTTATCATATGGATCCCACTCTGTGGCAAGTGGTGCCTGTCCAGGTATTCTTTAACTCTTAAATCTGCACTGTACAGCCATGTTGACTCACACTTTAATATCCATGGCTTCACATGCTCACCATCGAGATGGGGTGTTCCACAGGATTGCTTGATGGTGAATAACCTCACAATATTTTGCTTGATAAAAATTCCCTTAACGGACCTTACCACTCGTACTGCATGGATAAAGCAGAACGGGATTGCTGCCCATCCCTGCCATGCCTCAGTTGAACAACTTGGTATGGTCTGCTTTTCAAAATAAGATTTTATGGTCATCCATTGCACTGTCTTCGGTAATGACGTTTTTCCGGACTCTCCGTTGCCTTGTCACCCTCTTTTCCTCAAGTGGAGTATGGGATTCCTTACCACTTTCCAGTTCCAAGCTACTGGGGAGGCACCCTCTTGAATGAGTTCCACAAAGAAAGGGCTAGAACCATTTAGTTGAGAGTAGGGCAGTGGTGTTCTGCTGGTATAGATGAGATGTGGCCTCCAGAGGAGTTGAGCTGTCACCTTGCTCATGGTCTCCTGATACAATTTCTACAACTACTGGAGTTGAGACATCACCATACTGGATGATGTAGCCTCCTGACACCATTGACTCAACCACTGGAGTCAAACCTCACCTTACAGGATGATGTGGCCTCCGATTACATTTACACAAACACTGTAGTTGAGCCGTCGCCTTACTGGGTGACCTCCTGACACCATTTACACAAACACTGGAGTTGAGCCGTCACCTTACTGGGTGACCTCCTGACACCATTTACACAAACACTGGAGTTGAGCTGTCACCTTACTGGGTGACCTCCTGACACCATTTACACAACCACTGGAGTTGAGCTGTCATCTTACAGGATGACATGGCCTCCTGACACCATTTACACAACCACTGGAGATGAGCTGTCATCTTACAGGATAACCTGGTCTGCTGACACCATTTAAGCAACTACTAGAGTTGAGCCATCACCATACTGGATGATGTAGCCTTCTGACACCATTGACTCAACCACTGGAGTCTAGCCATCACCTTATGGGATGACCTGGCCTTCTAATTACATTTCCACAAACACTGGAGTTGAGCCATCACCTTACTGGATGACATGGCTTCCTGATACCATTTACTCACACATGGGAGTTGAGCCATCTTCTTACTGGATGGCATGGCCTCCTGATACCATTTACATAAACACTGGAGTTGACCCCTTCAATTGGGAGACCTCATCCTACCCTCGTGTGAATGTTGGTACCCCACTGAGAGGTTTGGATTAGAGTGAACCAATCATCATAAGTCCTCACATGAGTTGATTCTATGCAATTGACATTCTTTCAATACCGGTGTCAATTCCTGGATCGATAGATCAGTGGTGATCCTTGTGGATTCTACCCTCATGTGGATGTCAGTACCTTGCGAGGAGGTATTGGATGTAGTTGGCTTACCAAGTATGGTCTGCCATGCCCTAGCTACTCTACATCTCAAAATTTCTGCCCTTGTGCATTGCACAATCTACACATGGGCAAAGAGTATATCTGGCTCAGAAGTGGTGCAGTTCTCCTCTTCTGATCTTTGGATCTATATCTGTCATTGTCAGGGGTATCCTTCAGATGCTTTTAGGGGTACTTCTTTTGTTCCCTCTCACTGGTCCCTCCTCCTTATCAATGTGGGATTCTAGCTAATCTTGTTAATAGAGGTAAGTACTGTATCGGAAGTTATAATTTTCCTATATTGAAAATGTCTTTCCAATAGACCTCCTCTCACCCTTCTTACCAACTTCTCCGGTTCTCACACCTTCTGCCAAACTTTGTAAAAAAGTGAATAGGGAGTCACATGCATCATGTGAACATATCATGCTACTAATGTTTAAGAGATGACACATGATGATTTACATGAGAGACACATTGGAGAATAGTAATTTTAACAGGGGGGGGGGGGACTGAAGACACAGAAGGCTTGTGGCATGCGTAAAAAAAAAGGTTTGCATATAGAGGGCAGCACTGAAACTAGAATAGCTAACCTTGTGAGGGAGGTAAGTACCTATCGGAAATACATTTTCAGTATAGGAAAATTATAACATTTATCTTTTTGTTTATTTATATAAATAAAGCATAGCATATTCTTCTATTTACTAACTTGAGTAAATAAAATGGTATATTTTTCTGTTTGTTAATTTGTATAAATCAAACATTGTATATTTTTCTGTTTACTTATTTGTATAAATCAAACATACAATATTTTTGTTTGCTAATTTGTATAAATCAAACATAGCATATTTTTTCTGTTTACTTATTTGTATAAATCAAACAGTATATTCTTTACTTGCTAAAAAGTGAAAACAGTAGCTTAACTTAAAGAAAATTTAAGTATGACAGCTTTTGTCTCTAGGGTCGAATGGAGATATATTATGAAGACATGCCACTTAGTATCCAGGCAGGATATGCTTTGCTGCTGAAGAACCGAGAAGCTCTCTATAAATACCAGGTTTACTCTCACCTAACACGCTTAGGCTATACTGTGGTGAAGCATCAAGGAAAGTAAGTCTGAGGAAATCCTATATTTTGATAGAAGCAAAAGCATGAAAATGTAACAGTTTAAATATAATAAATAAGTGACATAAAACTACCAATCAACTTATGAAATGATTATCAGAAGTAAAAATCTTTAATTAGAAGTGACTAGGTTTTAAGATAAAAATTGGATAAAAATTCTGACTTGCTTTTTTTCAAATGGATACATATACAGAGATTTGAGTACATAAAGTTTGGAGACAGCTTGAATGGATAGTGAAAGAAACTTTATTACAAATGTACAACGTTTTGAAAGCTTATGTCAAGATGGTGATGACATAATCTTATTGAAATGTTGTACATTTGTAATAAAGTGTCTTCCACTACCCATTCAAGCCATCTCCAAACTTTATTTTCTAAAAGTGGGTTCCTCGTCAGCAAAAGAGGTTTGAGTACATAATATGAAAATTATTCTGAAGACACAAATGAACAAGCTACATGACAGTACCTACAAGAAATATATTTTGAAACATACTTACCTCTTCTCAAACTTATAGCTATTATTTGGCTGCCAGGGTTTCTTCCTTTGCCCATCTAAGTATTGGTCTGATTTTCTCTTGCTTGGAACTCTGGACGAGATGGCAGTAGAGGAATCCATATCTTAGTAGTGTCCCAACTTAACAACCCCTTAAGGTTTCGACAAGGTTTTGTCATCATCAGGTCACTATTTTGTCACCATTCAAGCCATCTCCAACCATTATTAGTCTCAAAGTGGGTTCCTCATCATTGAATTATAAGGATATCTTGTGCTCTCATCCCAAAGGCATGAGGGAATCGAGTGATGCCCACATTCCCAGAAGAGAAAGAACTATTCAGGCAGTGGGAGAAGCAGAGGTGAGTAAAAGTCAGGCTTCCTTTGAGCTGGATGGGAGTCAGCTGAGCCCAACTGAAAGATGAGATGAAAAAGCAAAAATACCCAGACTGATGACATATTGAATTGGTGCAAGAATAGATGTTTTAGCTCTAAGAATGAAGCCTGTCTTGGTTGTTTCTGAAAGTAGAATCAGGATGTGATTTTCTGAAAATTGACAAAATGTTGCTAGCAGTAACCAGTCTTCTATGGAATGGTGTTAGTACAGTGCAATGGATGGAGGTGATGAGAAAAACTTATATAATACGGCAGAACCCAAGTGAAGCCAATGCAAGTCCAAGTGTAAAAACCAAGAACTGCAGTACCTGACCCTTGGGCACAAAAAATGTTGATAGTGGTGGGATGCCACAACTATGGAAATGTGCAGATAGGAACTGACTACAATGAACTTGGATATCCACAATCTCAGGAAAAATGTCAAATCAGATTGAGGAATGAGTAACTTTTGAAAATTAGATAATCTAGGCATTAATATAAACAAGAAAGATTGATGACTGGACACCAGTCTCCTGTCTTTTGAGGCCCAATATCCAACGGGAATAAAACCTTGGAAGAACTAGCATGACCATCTCACTACCCCTAGACCAACCAAATTCTGATAGGCTTAGAACTAAGTTCCAAATTCCGAGGATCTGCAGAAGATGGAAACACTACAGGTTGGGTGGATAATAGTGATGAAGATGTGAACTGAATGACCAATCTTGACATAAGGGCTTGTAGTGCTTCTGGATTTGTTGTTAAGGATACCACATGTCCAGAAATTCTTGGCGCCAAGCCCCCACAGACCCTGAAGGTGCATAGTAAACACTGACGTCGTTGGCAGCGATCTGACCAAACATCAGAACCCATGGATATAGACAGAATCAATTCTGAGTACCAATGTACCAAGGGGCTGATGTTGGGGATTGGGACTGATGAATAGGGGTGGAACTATAACCCCATGTAGGAGCTGATGAAATTCGAGACTTTAAAGACAACAGGATGAATCTAGAAGCCAACAATTGAACTAATGTACATGCTAACAATGGATCCAACTCGACATCACTGAAGTTGGTGATCCTGAGATTCTTCCAACAAAGTAAAGTGAAAGGAAAACAGAATGTTGGATTTTAGAGTTGTAAGTCTATACACTTACCCTGTCCCATCAGGGAACATTCATCTACTCAGGTTAACTACAAACTCTGCCTTAGAACCCCTGACATTCTAGGAGCAGATGTATGATTTGAGAGTCAGAAAATGCTTCCACTTGGCAGTGGTAGGCTAAATCACGAAGTTCAGACAATCTTTTCAGATAAGGTATAACTGTCCCTTCACGTACCTGAGAAGTAAATCTCCCAGCATGAACTGAAATATCGTGGATGGAGAGAAAACTAAAAACTTGCTCCCAGACCTTTCAGCCTTCAAGTAAGGTGCAGGCTCAAAAGCAACTGAGGAAAGGCCCAAAACATCACACTTTCGATGAATCAACAGAAGAAATCAAATCAAAAGCAGCTTATCTCCAAGTGGCCTCCTTTTTGTTTGTATAGGTCATTTAAAGACTGTGTTGATTACCATTGATTTGTCAGGTAAGTTGGTTTTGTTAGAGCAAAGCAACGTTGGGCCATCCACCATCTCCACCATAAGGAATCAAACCCTGGGCTCCAGTCCTGCGAGTCTGCAAACTCAACATTGCCCCACAGGGGGACTGTAAAGCCAACAGACTAAAAGAAGGTGCAGGAAGTGAATCTAAATTCTCTCTCATAAATTCACCCTCAACTGCAACCTCGGAGCCCCCAGGAGGACTACAACAGAACCAAATATATGCCTCCATCTCACTGACAATCTCAACTGAGAGTAACCCTCTTTCCTCCTGATTGTTGTGCAATGCTAGATATCAGAGGGGGGATAGGAGAGACCTAATTTGCCTACATGCCAAAAATAATAATCCGGGAGTTCAGACCATAAATTGGCTTACCAATTGGAATATAAAATATTTTTTAAATATTATTATTATTAGAAAATCAACTTGATAACATTCAAAGTATCTCCGATTGATCATAATACTGGGAAACTCATTAGGGATGCTTTGTTGAGAAAATGTGATAACATTATCTGAATGAGGTGCTTATGTACAGTACCAGGATGGAGGGTGCATTAGCATAGGTGGAAAGTGTCATGAGTAAACACTCCAACAGGACTCTGGCAGTCGAGTAATAGCTAGAAGGGTGAAAGGATGTAAGTATTATTGGAAATACATTTTCAGCTTAAGAAAAGGTTAACTTTAGGTCCAATACAATTTAAAGGAAATATATATATATACACACTTATGGATACTAGATGTATTAATGTTCTTGACATATTAACATATTTCAAACTAAAAGATTATGAGACAAGACTGTATAATGTCTCCTCTTTTTGTGCTTTACTGTGTCACCACACAGCAAATACAAAGCTGTGATATAATGGCATGTATCAGAACTACTTTTTGATGTTGCTTGGCATTTTATAGGTAATGTGATGCCAACTGAATATTTTTCACTTTTGGAGAGAGTGTATAACAACCCTTTCTGCTGTAAAGAATTCATGCACTTAGACCATAAAGAATTGTTCATATTGGGGATTTAGAATTTCCAGGAACCAGTTATCCCTTGTACTTAATGGTAATGGAAAACAAAGAAAAGTGGATCAACTTGAAGCTTCAGGACTTGCAACAAGCCATATTCCAGTCATCATATGCAAAATAAGACAGCCTTGCAACTTTTTGGAATGCATGAACACAAAGGTCAGTGACAAAAGCTGTGCATAATACACAACATAAACAGGAAGGATTTCCATTTTGAAATGAGGCTAACGGTATAGTTTCACTGACATTAGGGTTCCACTCATACCTCCTGTTCAACAATTGCATATCTCAAGCAGGTGAAGAATGAAATAGTTATTCAGACTATTCTATTCAAAGACATACAAGTCACCAGACTACACGCTTGAGGATTTTTGTGGGATTGTATTATAAAAAGATGGACTATGGAAAACTTAAAGAGAAGTGGTGGACTTTGAACATGACAGATCCTTTGGAATGTAACCAGTGCTGTAGGGCTATTTTAAAGATGCATAGTTTTCAGAGAGAACAGTAGTTCCCAACCTTTTTCTAACTGATGATCATATATTTCCAACTCCAAAATTTCATGGACCACTTCATACAATATATTATATTGTAAAGCAATATACTTCATTATCTATATGTCAAAATATACATTTTTTTTTCGTTGTCTTGTAATCTGACAGTTGAGAACCATTGAAATAGGGCATGATCAGACTTTGCAACATGACTGTAATGCTGTGGAGAGTCTCCAAAATCATTATAATATAATGTATTGAACCTTTGTAGTTTATGTATATTACTCTTATAAGAGGAGGAGAACAAAGTATAGGAACATTGAATCCCAAAAATGCAAGGAAAAATAATGTTTCAAGTGCAGTTCTTTCTCTCCATCTACTTGTTTTCATCTCTTACTCAACTTTTTTGTTCATTTTCATATTTTACCTTCATTTTGAGACTTATCATCATGACCCTATCAGCTTCAGTTGGGCAACTTGCACATCTCTGTTTTCCAACTTACCCCCAGTTTTCTTCCATTTTTTTCCAGTTAAGCTGATTTCTTTGATGTACTTTGTCAGTTTTCTTTACTTTTTGACTTTTGCCTCCCCAAATCTCCTCTCCAGGACCTCCATCTGCACGTTTTCTCTGTGATATGGGTTTTGGGGGATATTTCTTATACTTAATAATTAAGAGCTGATGCAGCTCTTCAACAGTTATCTCTGCTCACTTTGATTTATTTCCCTTGGGACCAGTGATCCCCATCAGTTTTTTCACCGTATATGGACTTGTGAGGTTGCTCCTTCTTCTGTTTCTTGTCCTCTTGATACTGTTCATGGTTCCCCCCTTTTTGAGGGCTGGCTGTCATAGATTTAAGAGGCAATTTGTTTCTGGAGCCATCCTTTGGCTCTGGTCCTGTGAGAACTCTGCTTTTTCACTTTGTCCACTGGTGGACTCTTAACTACAGCCTATTGAGTTCCTTACGTGCTTTCTCAGGAATTTTTCCTGTAATTGTACTCT